TTATAATCTAAATTTTATAATGGACTATAACCAAATAGCTTACACATGTACAGGGGCTCTCACATTCAAGTGACTCATGTTCTTATATCTATTTGTTTTATGTGTTGAAACTTAATTGATTAATCATATGTATAGAAATATGATTCTTTTTATGTGTTAGTTGAGAGTATTACTAGTCATTTCAAAATACAAGTAAGTAGGGTTAGAGTAAGTAATGGTGGTTACCAAGACATCTTGGTCCCATCCTAACGCTTATCAAGAAGGGACCAAACATGGGATAAAATTTGAATCCTGATCATTTCTTGAGACGAGACATATAACGAGGGTGTTCTAGTCCTATGAACACCCTTAGTTGGAACTCTAGCCTCAACAAGTGGTGTTTTTATAGCCAATGATAATGGAGTTTAAAAAAAAATTATCAAAGGTATTTTTATTTTTTTACCATAAATTTTAAGTGCATCTTAGTCTGTTGACCCTGTAATGATATTTTAATATCTTTTGATCTATGTTTGATATTAAAATCTCTTCAGTTATCCTTGAATGAATATTTTTTGCTTTGTTTTCCCCTTAGTGGACAAGCACTCCCCACCCCCTCCTAAAAAAAAAAAACACATAATGTATAATTGGATTGGTGGATTTGCTAACAAATCAGGATTCTCGTGATGTTTGGTAAATGGAAAATTATCTCTTAGAAATTTTTTTGGAAAAAAGTCCTTAGAAAAAGATAAGATAGGTGGATTTTTATTTTTTTTAAAATATTTTTTATCTACTAAACATTACATACTCATACATCAAGTGAATACTATTTGTAGTTTATCCATGTGAATCTTGCTGCTTTTTTAACGCCTACATTGAATCAATATTTTGGATATTTTCATAATTTAATGGTGATTAGGCAATTTAGAATTCAAACTTCCAAAGATTTTGTAAATCTCGGATTTGGCTACAAGCGTCTCTCTGGTCTATTTATAGAAATTTAAAACAAAATCTGTAGTTAAAATATTGGGCTCGCCTACCCACATTTTAGGTTGGAGCTAGCTTCCACTTCTAGCTTTCCATCAGCCCACGGCTTTGGTTTCAGTTTCACACAGGCCCCCTTTTTGGTCTTCAAAAAAGTTCCTCATGGTTTTGGAGTTTTTTATTTTTTAACACCAACTACTGTTAATCTTAATAAAATGAATTATGATTGTTTAAATATAAAGTCTCAAGCTTGAATCCATATGAATACGGGTTTTGTAAAAGCTATTCTTTATGGGCAAGACAATATTTGAATTTTAGTCAAATACCCATATTAAAAAATTGTCAATTAATTTTAGCCAACTTCAAACCTATTTGTTATCGAAAAAAGGATCTCTAAACCTATTCATATTGCAATGACTGACAGAAATATATTATTTAATAATAATATATTTATATGATCCTGATAAAAATACAATTTACGCCCACATAAAACCTCCTGTAAAAAGGGCACACTGTAAACCCCCCTTTTTTGCCTTTCAAAATAAAACAAATTAAAGCGAAAGTAGGAGGATCAAGCGAGACAACAGACCTGAAACAGCTCCAAGTGTAGCCAACTGCAACATAGCAATATTGCTATTTTTTATAGCAGCTTGACAAATTTAATTTCTTTCAAGTGAATGAATTTTAAATTAACTATTCCTCAAATAAACAAACGAAGATGAGTGATAATGCTTAGCTCATCTCATATTCAACTAAGCATTTGATTTCAATCAACAAGTGAACACGTACCAATATAAAATATGTAATAATTAAGATTTATTTTTGAAACATTGAAGATAAACGTATCTATCTCGCACTTCAATTCAAGAGACATGAAAATAGTCAACAGGTTACAACCAGTCCATCAAAATCATTCATAAATATCAAATATAAAGCATATAACAACTAAGAAATCAAATATTGTACCCAAACACCAATGATAGCATATTAAGATTGTCTTAAACTCCATATAGCATATGAAGAATGTGCTTTAAGTTCAAAGCTGGTAATATTATTGGAAAACATTATGTAGCGTAGGGCGTTCCATTTTAAGGTATCGCAGCTCCTGGCCTTTGATTTGTATAATAAATGAAACCTCAAGACGCACTCTTCATTTTGGACAAGACATAGAGTGACACTGATTATAAAATATTTAAAAAATGCTTCAATGTTCAAAAACTCTACAACATGTTCATGTTCTCCGGATACATATTGCTATTAGATATGGGTTTAAATCTCAAGCCCCTCTCTCTCTAGTTGATCTTGAGTCTTTCTCTTTAATTGGATGACTTGGCATCCCATGTTTTGATAACTTGGCATGCCGCCTATAAAACATCACATAAAATCTCATTACCATCATTGTTATTATATACTCAATTTGGATCATGATATAAATCATTGTTAATTAATTCACATTTTTAAAAAAATGATTAGAATCTTTATTTTATAAATATTTTTATATCCTTTTATTTGTATCATTAAGTAGAATAAATATAATATTTAATTTATTCAAAATACTCTAATTGATTATTTGAGTGGAATATAACGAAGTAAGGATATAAGTGAAAAGATATATATATATATATATATATATAACTTATTTAAAGTTTTGTATTTTGCACCGAGCGAGACTTTTAGAAAATGTCTTATGTCATGACAAGGAGTGTGCATTTTGATTGCAAAAGATAGTATTCCTAACTTATTTATAAATTACTCTCAACATATTTTATTGAAAGCAAGAAAAATCTTAAACTCTACCAACTCTATCTAAAAATTCAACAAGTTTCTTATTGGGAAAATTATTCTAACCACAACAATTGTAATCACTTAAACTCCCACTAATTGCACAAATGATATAAGGTTTTTGGGGACTTAGATATAATTAAGTTTTAATATGAAATGATAAAAAAGCTAGTGTGAGGTTCTTGGCATCCCTGGCCACCATCTCATACCAGCTATGGTAATTACAAATGCCACATGCTTTTCTTGCACACCTAAAGGCGAAGAATTGAACACTCGAGAGTCAAAGAAGGCTTCCTTGATCTTTTCAACGTTGGAGGTGGTGGTGTAGAGGGTATTGTTGGCTTTGGCAATGTCAGCGATGACGAGGCCGTAACTAGCAATGACAGTTGTCAACATCTTAGCTTCCAGGGCATTGTTGGTTAGCAGCTGGTGGTATTGTCAAGGGATTTTAGTATCAAAGAAAGGGAAGTTGGTTTTGGAGAATGCAATGTTGGTGATAGGTTTTAGGGTGAGGAAGCTTTTGGGGATTTGTGTGGGATAAATGTGATCGAATTACAGAAAGGCTTGAAGAGATGCCACTATATCTTGGTTTTCGGGGAGGGAGAGGGTTGAAGAATGAGAAATGTTGAAGCATTTCAAGGACTTCACATGAGTCTTTTTTTCATTTCTTAAAAAAATTTAATTACAATTAAGTCCGAAGGAACTTAACAAGAATTTGTGCAATTTATGGGGCTTCAAGGTAAATATAATTATTGTGGGGGATTTTGGAATGATTTTCCCTTTCTAGTTTTAAATCCAGTTAAATATAAATTAGATACTAGTTTTTTAGTCAAAAAAATTATATACTACTTTAATATTCCCACATTTCATATGCTTTTTAGTATTTCATAAGGATAGGGATAAAGATGAATACAAAAATTATAGAGATACTCTATAAATACAATAAAAATCAAAATAAATACTTTCTTTATCAAAGGAATACTCCTTCTGGTTATAAATATAAGAAATTTTTAATAATAATTTTCATACTAATAAAATTTTTATTTTCATAAAAATATATATTATTTTTTTTTTCAGTCTTAAAAATGAGTGAGAAAGATGTCTTAAATTTATAGACACAAGAATTTATGTTAATAAATATAAAGAGTAAAACAAAAAAATTCTTTAAAAATACAAGAACTTTTATATTTTGAATCAAAATTAAGTTTAATAAAATGTTTATATTTTGAAGTAAAGGGAGTATATGAGGTGGAACGTGTAATTTAACCCTAAGGAGGGGAAGCAGGACGCTGATAGGCAGTGCACAGGACGGTGGGCCTTCTGCTTCAAAGTGATCAGTGAGAAGAAGAGTGGTGAGTGGTGGGACCAACGTATATATTGACGTGAAGCTCAAAATGAAGGAAACAAGACAAAGGGGGAGAGACACGAGAGGAGAGGAAGTGAAGTGAATTGTGTTTGGGGGATGATTGAATGATTGGACACAGGATGGTGACCATCTCCTTGGAGAGGAGGAGGACCCACTTGAAGTTGAAATAAAACAAAGGCTTCCAATCAACCTATCCCGTACCTCTGTCCTCCTCATCTGCTTTGCGTAAATATCAACCTCCATGATGTTCTCGGCTGTGATTTGCAGCCCCAACCCTATACATACGTTCATCAATTAGGTCGGCCAGACTAGACATTTAATTGCTCTGCTTGCTTATGAATTAAACATTGATGGGCAGTAAGTTTATTAATATTCGTTGTAACTGGAAAAACATGTAAATTTTGTGGTGAGGGTGGAAGGGAATGAATAATTAAATAGAATGGACGGAGGGAGCAGCATCGGTGTCGTAAATGGAGTCACATGGGGGCATGTGAGCGTCTTCGGATGCAATCACCCTCTTTGGACTCTTGTTTATCATCCGCCCTTTTTAAAGTCAACCTAACGGTCTCTTTCTTCCTTCCGTACTCTAAACAAAAAAAAAAAAGAGCAATTGATTAAGAGTTCCAGCAATATGCAGCAAAATTACCTCTTGCCCTTTTCAACTTCCCAATCCTGATTTCTGGCGCCATCATTTCTAGAAATTAAAACACAAACAGGAAACTATGGATTCTGAGGAAACAAATAAACAGATTTTGCTCAGGAAACTACATGTAACAATATATAGTTATGATATATTGGATTTTAAATGAAAGAGATTCATTTAAAAAATCTGGCATTAAAAGAGAGAGAGAGAGAGAAAGTGATGAGCGGCCATGGAATAGAACATGGAAACGTCAGTGACTGGGGGCACGCATATTCTGGAAAGTACAAAATACCACGTTTTGCAATGGAGTGTCTCTTCTCTTGTTGTGAGTATCTTTTAATCCCCAGACCCAAAAGCCATAAGCTTTTTTAACAAATACCACAGCGTGAATGTGAATCCAAACGCCGAAATCATTCTGGATTCCCTGCAAGTTTTAACAGTGTTTTAAATGATTGTGGAGCCCTCTCTCATTTCCTCCATACCCTACCCAGATCCTTTTTCTGGCCCCATTGCCTTCTTCCAACGGTGTTCCTTCCTCTTCAGAGTTCAGACCATTATGCGAGTCTTGCAGACACGTTATTCATATCATATCATAACATAGAAAAAAACAATACCCAGAAATCCCGTCTCAGAAAAATATCGCTACGCATAGAGTGAGAAAAAGGTTGCAGATTTATTCAGAAAGAGATGGGGAGAGAACAAGAGTGAGAGTCCATGCAAGTTTTTTTACATTTATACTTCAAAAAAGAAGTTTGCTTTTGTCAAAAAACAGCTAGAGTTTCTCGCTTCTTCTGGAAAGGTAGGTGATTTTTTATTCATTCTCGATCAATTTTAACTTGTTTACTCAAATGGGTGTCTCCCCAGTGGACCGAATCATAATTTCTATGTTCACTGGTTTCCCATTTTGGCATTTCAATACAGTACATTGATAATAATAATTGGATGCCTGAACGATATATTTATTTATGTTTTTATATAAATGAATTATTTCCTTAACTATATCCATTTTTTCTCAGGTTGCTTGCGTTCTTCCTTCTCCCTGCAATAAGTACTGAGAATTTTGAAGCCAGTCGTTCAATTCTGGAGCTTTGTTGACCTTTCGTCATTCGTTCAGGGAAATGGGGTTGACCGGTTGGAGGCAGCAGAGTGGATACATGAAACAGAGATTTAGTTTTGTAGCCTAGTAAGTCCTCAGATCTCATCGATAGTGTAGTTTTATCGATATTTGATTATATATGAAATTTAACTGTTTTCTTCCCATTCCTTCTACCCCTGTGGGCATCAGTGATCTATCATGCCGCTTCCGTTTTCAATGTGAAGTTTTTCTGAATAATTGGTTGATAAATTACTTAATTTAATGTATACAACTGAGTTGAGTTCAAGACTCTGTTACTTTTTCGCATCTACTGGACACTATCCCGTAATTACTTTTCTGTTTTTAGTGCAAAAACTTTTCTGCAAAGCAAATATCTGACGGTACGTGTGTCGCTAAATTTCATTTTTTGTATTTTCACCTGTCTCTTTTGGTTTGGATGAGATCTATTGAAGCGTTTGTTAATATTTTACTACAAAACTCGAAATTATATGCCTGATATCGTAGTGTGTTCAGTTTTTGATGGCATACAGTTTATCTTTATTGTCTATAAATCTGGTGATTGACAAAGACACTATCCCTTCTTCAGGAAACCTGTTCAAGGAATATGGACTTCATAATCTTCCGTGATTGAGAAAAGTACAAGTATGGATGTTCGAGAAGAAAGTGGTAACTTCGGGACACTGAGAGCCATGACATCAAGGAATATGTCATCGTCGTCGTCAACATTCTTTTCAGCGAACCAGTCACCTTTCTTCTCTCCAAAATCACCGCCGCTTCCATCATTAAAATCTACAGGACCCCACGTTACCAGCGTTCCTGAACCAAAATCTGTAGGAACTGTTAGATATGCCTTCTCAGATGCTTCTACATCTACGGCTGGCTGTAACAACTCGAGTGATTTGCTGGAGCATGATCGTGTATCTTCTTCAATTGGCATCTCTAGCAGCACAGTTTCTGGTCACAACCATGCCTTTGAAGATGGCTATTTTGGACCGAAAGAAAAGCGAATCAAGGGTGGCAGAAACTTCAAAACATCCTCAACTATGGGTTGTTCCATTTCACATTCTTCTTACAGACTTCGTAATTGTGATGTTTTTATTGGATTACAAGGAAGAAAGCCCCTATTACTACGATTTGTCAATTGGCTACGTGCTGAGTTAGAAGTTCAAGGAATCAGTTGCTTTGTAAGTGACAGGGCACGATGCAGGAACTCTCGCAAGCATAGCATCATTGAGAGGGCCATGGATGCTGCTTCCTTTGGTATAGTTATCATAACCAGGAAGTGTTTCAAGAACCCTTACACCATCGAAGAGCTACAGTTTTTTTCTGGTAAGAAGAATTTAGTCCCAATATACTTTGATTTGAGTCCAGCAGATTGTCTTGTGAGGGATATAATTGAGAAGAGAGGTGAGCCGTGGGAAAAACATGGAGGAGAGCTTTGGGCTTCGTATGGAGGATTGGAACAGGAGTGGAAAGATGCTGTTCATGGCCTCTCTCGTGTTGATGAATGGAAATTGGAAGCGCAAGATGGAAACTGGAGAGATTGCATATTGAGCGCTGTCATATCATTAGCAATGAGGTTAGGTAGGAGAAGTGTCACAGAACACTTGACAAAATGGAGAGAGAAGGTGGAAAAAGAGGAGTTCCCTTTCACACGGAATGAGAATTTCATTGGAAGAAAGAAAGAACTTTCTCAGCTGGAATTCATACTCTTTGGTGATGTCAGTGGAGATTTGGAAAGAGATTATATTGAACTTAAAGCGAGATCCAAGAGGAAGAATTTCACGTTTGGATGGGGGAAGAACAATGCTTTAGACGAAAGATACAGGGAAAGGCAAATGAAAAACATCAGCAGGAAGGCAAAAGAACCTGTTGTTTGGAAAGAATCAGAAAAAGATATTGAAATGCAAAGTACTGAGCTTTCAATGAAGCACTACAGTTCAAGATTGAAGCATGGAGGAAAGTATGGTAGGAGGAAAAGAGGAAGGAATATTTTGCATGGGAAAGGGGTCGCTTGTGTATCTGGGGATTCGGGAATTGGTAAAACAGAACTCGTTCTTGAGTTTGCTTACAGATATCACCAGAGATACAAGATGATTTTGTGGATAGGAGGGGAGAGCAGGTACATGAGGCAGAACTATCTCAACCTCAGGTCTATTTTAGAAGTTGATGTGGGAGTTGAGAATAGTTTGGAGAAAAGCAGGATAAAAAGCTTTGAAGAGCAGGAAGAGGCTGCTATTTCTAAAGTCCGCAAACAGCTTATGAGAAACATTCCATATTTGGTGGTCATTGATAACTTGGAAAGCGAGAAGGACTGGTGGGATCATAGACTTGTAATGGATCTTCTGCCTCGTTTTGGTGGTGAAACCCATGTTATTATAACAACCCGCCTTCATCACATCATGAACTTGGAACCTTTGAAACTCTCTTACTTATCTGGGGTTGAAGCAATGACTTTAATGCAAGGGAGTGGTAAGGACTACCCAGTTGCTGAGATAGATGCTCTGAGAACTATAGAGGAAAGAATTGGAAGGTTGCCTTTGGCCCTTGCCATTGTCAGTGCAATTTTGTCTGAGTTACCTATAACCCCAAGTAGGCTCTTAGAAACTATAAACAGAATGCCGTTGAAGGACATATCATGGAATGGTAAAGAAGCAACCTCGTTAAGGAACAACACTTTCCTTGTGCAACTATTTGAGGTTTGTTTCTCAATATTTGATCATGCAGATGGCCCTAGAAGCTTAGCAACTAGAATGGTCTTGGCAAGTGGATGGTTTGCACCTAGTGCTATTCCAGTTTCCTTATTAGCACTTGCAGCCCATAAGATGCCAGAAAAGTATCATGGGACCTGCTTCTGGAGAAAATTTCTTCAGACCATGACATGTGGATTGACATCGTCGCAAGCCAAGAAATCAGAATTAGAAGCATCTTCTCTGTTGTTAAGAATCAATATCGCTAGAAGGTGCACTAAGCAAGGTTGGATCCAATTCAATGAGCTCATCAGAGTTTATGCCCGGAAGAGAGGAATGACTGGAGCTGCACAAGCAATGGTTCAAACTGTTATTAGTGAGGGGTCAATATGTCCAAGTCCTGACCATTTATGGGCAGCATGTTTCCTGGTATGTGGATTTGGTCATGATCCCGTGGTTGTTGAGCTGAAGGTGTCAGAGCTATTATATATGGTGAAAAAAGTGGTTCTTCCTCTAGCAATCCACACATTCATTACATTCTCTCGATGCAGTGCAGCTCTAGAGCTTCTGCGCTTGTGCACCAATTTGTTAGAAGCAGCAGATCAAGCATTTGTGACCCCAGTTGACAAGTGGCTGGACAAGTCTCTATGTTGGAGGTCCATACAAACTAATGCTCAGTTGAATCCTTGCCTTTGGCAAGAGCTGGCTTTGTGTAGAGCCTCTGTACTTGAGACTAGGGCCAAGTTAATGCTAAGAGGAGCACAATTTGATATTGGTGATGATTTGATCAGGAAGGCTGTTTTTATCAGGACTTCAATTTGTGGTGAAAATCATCCAGATACCATATCTGCTCGCGAGACCTTGAGCAAACTCTCCAGGCTTGTCGCAAATGCCCAGATTCATGCTTCATCTTGAAATCTGTATCATGGTAGGAAACTCCAGTTAGAATTATACAGAAAAGATCTTGAATAAACTTTAGCATACTATTTGAGAGGAACTTTCTGCAGCATATTTTAAAAGTCTGAATGAGATGCCTTCCAATTTTTTTTAGAAGAGACTATTCTTTCCCCGTCCATACAAATGCTGTAAATACACTGTCATTGATTTGTCATTAGTTTGCCACGGGCACTGCTACTCTGATAGCTTGTGGGACCAAGTTTTTAATTAATGAGAAGCTTTAGTTCGATGATAACGGAATATAGTTGTCAATAAATTTTGTAGTTCTGATTGCTTCATGGCCCGACGAATAAAATGAAAAACAATAAAAGTAAGCCCTGTGGGGAAGTGATTGTTCCATTCCGGATAGTTTCATTTATCTTGGCTGTGCCTTGAAAGCATTCCCAAAATTCAGAATGTAGGAACAGGAAGCATGAGTGTTAGCGCCAGTACTTTCCCAGCTTCCTCCTGTCGTGCTTGATCTCTGTTCTAATTATATTTTTGTTCCATTTTGAGTTTTTCTGAAAGCATGCCACATAAAGACATTTTGTGAGCCTTAACCATTTGCTTAAGTGAGATCTCACAGCTAAACACTATTATATACATGAGGGTTAAGATTTAAACTCCCAATTATTTGTTTAAATTATAAGAACTTTTACTATTCATATCAATTTTAATTGTTAATGTTTGTAAAAAGGCTTGAATTTTTATTCATTTGTGGCTTATATCTAAGGAGTGTCACTTTTATGGGTTTTATTTAGGAAATTTTGAACAGGTCAATTTATTTTTCTTTTTTGGTGTGAATTTAGCTCTATGGGGTATTGTCTATGGAAGAAAAGCAAGATCTAATAAATTTCAACATGAGCAAGTATGTACTTTCTCTCTCTCAAATTATAATATTTTTAAATAAAATATTACATATTAATAAATCTCATTAAATAAATTTAACAATTTTATTTTTTAAAATAAAAATATAAAATTTTAAAAATATATTTTATTTAATATATTGAAAAGAAAGAGGATAGAAATAAAAAGAAACATGATAATATTAAAATAAATTTATTTAATAAAATATTAATATTTTCAAAACATTTTATATTTTAAAACGTCAATTTTCTTCAAAAAAGAATGCTTTATAATTTGATATAGAAGGAATATTAATTTAGAATTTCTTCACTAATCCAAGGGGTTGAAGTCTATAAATTAGATCTAAGATGTTACCTACGTAAAATATTTGGACTTGTCCTTTATCGTGTCAAATAATTAATAATTAATATTAATAACAGTAAAACTAAAAGTTGCCCCCACGCAGGATTGAACTACGGACCTTCAGTTTACAAGCCTGACGCTCTACCACTGAGCTATAGGGGCCTCTTTCGGTAAATTGTAGTTTTGATTCACACAACACTTCCCCTACTCTATTCATCTTCATTTTTTTGGGTGTAAAAATGGGATTAAACATAACAAGTCAGAGCAGACATGAGAAATAGCAACGCTACATATGTCCTCAAATAAAATATTGCAGACAGAAGGAGGAACATCTGAATTCTGAACTCCTCATCTTTTATTCACCTGCTTAGCTGTACACTGATCACAACCAACTTATCAATGCACTTGTTTCGGTTATTCAGACGATTGGTACTCAAATACAAGTAGTGGCAGTTTCCTTCGTCTTTCATTTCATACCTTTAATTGAAGTCGCCACCAGCATCTTTTATCTCTCTGATCTCAAGTAAATTTCCCTCCAAAATGACTACATATATATATATATAGAAGAAACATCTCATCTTTTATGGAGTTTCATCAAACCAAACGAAGTGGAAAAGGGATGTTCACACAATTTCGTCTTGTTAAGAGGACAAGCTCAAGTGTGAACAACAGCATTTACAAGTAAAGCTAAAAACTAGCTTGAGCCTCAACATCAAATCAAATGTCTTGAACATTTAGATCATAAATTGATAGATATGCCTGGTTACCATGGAATGGAAAGAAATTAAGGTTGGCGTTGGATTGCAATGTGAAAATTTAAGGATCAGGTTGCCCAGCAATTCCCTCATCACTGGAGCCATAATCGTCTTCACTTAGCTCTTCATCATCACTGGATTTTTCATCCTGGGTAGCACCAACATCTTCTGGCTTGGCATACTTTTCACAATATTCTGTAAATTCGCAGTATAGTTATTTGCATCCGGTGTCTCCAAAAGAAATATAGATAATACCAGTTATCTAAAAGAGCACAGTCAGTTGAGATTTGAAATGTGGTAAATAACTGAGTTTCTGGTTTATGTGGCAAGATGTACAAAAAGAGAAACATATGTATGTACATTGTGACCACTGACTATATTAAACCATGCCAAGGATAGATTATTAGCCCAAGCAAACTAACTAGATATATCAAACTCGATGCTATAAATTTGAGTAACTGGCAAACAAATGGCCAATGTACTTGTGCTGCAGAGTGCAGGTATTTGTCATTCATTGTTTCTGGAGCTCACATTACCCTCCAATAATTAATTAATGATAAATTTCATGTAGTAAATTATTTATCACTTGTTACATCAAATTGCTATTGTTGATAAAGTATAATGATGTCCTGCGATCCGTGTAACCACCATTAGTATAAAAAGGTAAGTTTTATGCCATCTACTTGACCATAAACAGCATAACTCAATCTGAACATGATTTGCATTAATCAAAAACCCAACCTAGAATGAGTTTTAGGGGGTCCATACTTCACATAACATGCAAAACCCTTGAAATCGATTCAACCCAGTTATGAAAAAGATATCCAACTTTAAAAGCAGGTGAAGCAACCCAAAGATTGAGAACTCCAAGATTTTTTTATCATTGATATAGAAATGAAAAAATCACTATTACAACTCAGTTATTAACATAGAAAATGAATGCAATATGGTATGAAACTTGAGGGTGGCACAGACCGTGAGAACTGAAGCTCTTCATCGGTAATTCAAAAGGTTCAATTACAGACTCTGAGAACTAAAGACGAAGAAGATAATTGTTAGTCTGAATGACAACTTGTTTCAGCAGGAAGGCAAGGGTTCAGTTGACGCACTTCACATATAACATAAACCTTTGAGTTTTATTTTTTTAATTAAGGATTTTCATTTTTTTAATTAAGGCTTTTCTTTAAAAAATTGATAGCATTCGGATTTCAAAATGCCATAAAAACCACTGCAGTTCGGTTAGCCAGTGGTTTGTAGAAACTCTCTTCATGAGTTCATGCAGATTAACTAAGCACATAGGTAGATTGTTGCTTGTATCAAGGAAACGAAAATGATTGCTACCTTTGACTTTTTGATCATATGCAGCACGATCACGCATCATCAGTGCAGCAGCTTCACCATTCAATGGATCTGATGCGTTGGGGTACAGAAGAAGTTGGGGAAGAAATACTTCAAATACATTAACAAGGTCTGAAAATAAAAATAAAAAATTGGTCAAATCCAGAGGCACTGTCACAAAATGGCAAACAAGAATTAATTAAATGCATTTTGCACGCGCACGTGTAGCAGTGTAGCTTACCAAACATGGGACTCCAGGTCTGGTTAATAACATCCAAGCAAACTGAGCCAGACCTAAATGTCAGAGAAAAAACAATCAGTGAGCTACTAAGTTAATATGTCTGTGCAAAGCCAGAAGAAATATGATAAGAATGAAGCTTGCTGGGTTGTGCTCACATTTCATCAACATTAGGGTGGTATATTTTGTTGACAAAACCAATGGATGGAGATTTATAGGGATAAGCATCAGGAAGCTCTACTCTGATCTTCCATACACCTTCATGATAAGGACCTGCACATCATCCCAGAAAGACAAAAGAAAGATGAAAAAAAAGGGAAGGAAAAATCACCATAACCATTAAATTGACAAGGCATAGATCCTGATGAAACCAGACAACACTGGGGAAAATAGGTGAACATTTAACCTCATCCATCTAAGCACAAGTACAGCTAGCTAAATGGCGAGACACATATCTCAGCCGATTCAAGCAGTCAAAATAGTGAAGAACAGGAATATCAGGGAAAATGGTGGGTTCTCATCAAGACCACTGGGTTGTATTCTGGTTCAGAGGTGATGGGTTCTTGTATGCTGATCCAAATTATAGGTACATGGAACGTCAGCAGGAGATTTTTTTTTTTTTTTAAGAAGTTTTGGTGGACTGTACACAACCACTGAAATACAAAAAGGACAACGTTTGATCAGGAGAAGAAATATTTCAACTCTGAGAACACCGTGGGGAGCTCAATCAGGCGGAAATAAACAGAAATGTAAATCAGAGGGATGGAAAAAATTTACTGTCTTTAGGCCCGTGAAAATGCACATAAAACTCCTGCATGCCATCATTGATCATATCCACCTTGTAATCGCTCATCATCCTAATTCAATTCAATCCAACCAAAAAATTCAGACGAGAAACTTCAAGTTAATTAAACGGAAGGGAAAAAGAAGAATAAGAAGAAGCACAGTTCAGAAAGATTACAGCTTCATCAAGTCCATCTCTCGACGTTTACTGGGAGAAGACATCTTTTCTCTCTAACTTTTCTTGAGTATGGAGTGTAGTGTGGGTGAGAGGCTGAGAAAAAAAGATGGAAGAATAAGAAGATAAACGCTTCCTCCACAAACAAGAGAACACCCCAAAGCGGTTCAGACATCAGAAGATTGGAATTAGGACTCTCAGTTATATATTATAAAATTCAATCGAGATAATTTTTTTTCCTGCACGTGAAGCTACTCTCTTGGCCGTACTCAGTAGAATGAGTAAGTTTGCTAAGAATTACCCGAAAAGATCAAAACAAAACTTTCTTCACTTTCGGTGAGGTTCCATCCAGTGAATATTTATTATTATAATTATAGTTTGAAAAAAATACATAAAGAAATAAATGATAATGCCAGATCTTTCAGACAACTTTCCGTCCATTATCTTCTAGACTAGATTCATGATGGGCATCACTCTGAATAATTTTGGCGTTAAGATTTTTTTTTCTTTTTGGATTTTAGACGTGAAACAAAATCTATTTTCATTATTAATGTGTTTCATTTTGTACTCACAACGTGAATTGACCTAATCATGTTAAGGGACAATTAGTTTATGGAATGAAGTCAATTAGATAGTTTTCTATTCGAAGGAATTTTTTTAACTTACCTAATCTTTTTTCTTTTTTGAGTGATTGTCATTCTGTAGTTTCCCCCATTCTCACGAAAAGAGAGAGAGCAATACGCAACTTGTAATTTGTAAGTCAAAAAGGCTTCAATTCACCAACCTTTTTAAAGATACGACAACATCTATGAAAGATTTTACAGCTTGCTAAAGAATAAAATGGCAACGGTAAAACGACTTCATGTATACTACAGATTTACCAAATTTGTTTTTCCCCCATTTGAATGACGATGCAGTAATATCTAGAAAATGCAGGTCATGATGTAAAAATAATGCATGGATTAAGATGGAACGTGGATGCAGCTGTTATGCCGAAATACAAGCATGGAAATTGACGATTGCCCAAAGCTTAAAGTTGAGGCGAAGGATCTGTATTGGTTCTCCATTCCATGTTTTACTCCAATTTACAGGTTTTCTTCTGCCGCATAGACACTTATAAAATGCGATTGATCCTGACCATCGGAATCATTTCATGCACCATTTTTGTTTCCTGATACAGAAGGATATGTCGAAAATATTGGTTTTACGCAAATTTGGTGTTAAAAAGCAATCTTTTTTTTTTTTTTGACCGTGTTAAAAAGCAATCAGTCCGCATAAACAGAACCATATTTCTTAGAGGAACGACAGCTGCAATATCATAAATTTGACGTCATTAATTTGCAAAATTGCGCGCCATAGGCACAAAACGAAACAAGACAACAACCGTTGTGGACTCTTCTCCCCAGGTCTTTCTATCTGATTCTATGATGTCTCAGACCAAAGGAATGAAATGGGGTATTTTACAGAATTACAGTACTGGTCGTGCAGCCTCAACGAAGTACTTGATTGGACTGCCACTCAACCATCAACATCGATAGCAGCTTCAGCAAGTTCTGCATTATGGGTAGTCAAGATTCGAGAACACGCGCACAGTTGCTTCCAGTAGAATGGGTGACTCTCACGCCAGTCTCAAATCAGAATTTTACAGTGAGTTTGTGTCAACGTTTCCTTCGCTGTGAATGGTTTCCCCATTGATCATGGAAGGAAGGGTTTTACTTAGTTTGGCTGTGGGTCTTTTTTCCTCAAAATGATTCAAACCCACTGATCAAATTCTTACTCTCCCTTTTGTTCACTCCAATTCAGTGCATCGGTTGTTCTGGGAACACTCTAGAAACTTATAACCTGGACCTTTTACAGCTTCCATCCCAAAGCCATCGGTAAAAGATCCAAATTCATGTTCATCATCGTCACTATCAACACTACTTGGAGTCACACGATTCTGATAAATCCTGCGTTGAATAAGAAATACATTGAAGTAATAGCTAACCAAGCTTCTCCTCTTCTTTTTTGGGAAATACTTGAACGGGTTGCTCTTATTTTGGGAGGGCAAATTTAACATCATAATATCCTTGAATTTCTTTTCTTCTTCAGCAGTCCATTGAAGTGAAACTTCCTCCCCCATACAATCAAATCCCCACTGGTAAAATGCCGAACCCAAGTCAAGCTTCAACTTCATCCTCATCTCAGCAATATGAAATCTAACACATTCAACAGAACCTTGAACTTTACAGCTACAAGTCTCTTGTCTTCCTCTTCCAATAATACCGGTCTCAGTAACAGACTGTAGTTCCCTATCCTTCAAAGGCCATACTTGCGTGCCCAACCATTTAGAATCACTTTCAGAAACTACACCAGTCCATTTTGGCACTTCAGCTTGAAAAAGAGGACCTATAGCAACTTGTTTTTCAACAGTATCATCTGTGGACGAGTTAGCTGTTTCCTTTGCACTCAGCAAACCATCTGCTGCAGTTGTTTTCTCTAATGAAGCATTTTCTTCCTCAGTGGTGGCAGCACAAGGTAACTTGTTTTCGATAGCTGAATGTGAATTGCAACAAGAGCATATTTGAGATTTAACTGAGGTAGGCAGCCTTTTGCTCCATCTCAGTTTTGCTGTAGAACGGCGACTGACAGCAGCATGATCCTCATACATGGCAGGATGCATCTTTTGCTTCTGCAAACAAAGAGAACTCTGAAAAGTTTGGTATTATAGCCTCTCTTTCCAAACAACACAAAGTTATACATGTTTTCCACCTTGACTCCTTGAGTGAAAGTACAAGCATTTTTCAATGTAATGACATCAAAGCAATAATGATGTTAATGATACCCTTCGGAATTTATGATCAAGGACATTACAAACTTCACGTATATACAATAATACCAAACAGAATGTTACCAAAAGAAAACAGCAAACAAAATGCCTTTTCTTTTATTAGGACTGAAAAACGTAATACTTGTGTTCGTTTCTGAATTTAGGATTACCCCCACCCAGCACATTAAAGGATACTTAGAGAATATCCAGAAGAATAGTTTCACGCATTAGTAAAATTAGATTACGGGTTTGTGCAATGCATAGAGTCTTTTGTAAGTCCTCTATAAAAGAAAGAAAAAAGTCTTGTGTAAGTCAGGACAGTTCATGACATATATAGTGCAACTTCCTATAGATTTTGTACTTATATATAGATTACAAACAAAAGCATGTACCGTATGTCACAAAGAGTTATAAACAATACGAGGAAAATATCAAGAAAACCATTTCATTTAACATATATGTCGCAACAAAAAGTAACTTGGAGCTGCCAATAGGCTTAGCTATAGTAAGGTCATATGGACATCATGCAATGCCACATGTATCTGATGATGAACAGCAAGAGAACAAACTACTATGTAAATTAAAATGTATGCAAGTTAAAATAAAGGAAAAATATAATTTTAGATCCTTACACTTTACTCAAGTTTTGCTCTAAGTCCTGCACTTTTTTTTTTCTAGTGTTCCAAGGCCCTAAACCTTTTTTTTTTCCAGTGTTCTAGGTGGACCTAAAACACCGGAAAAAAAAGTTTATGGCCCTAGAACACCGGGAAAAAAAAAATCCAGGAACTATAGCAAAACTGGAGCAAAGTGCAAGAATCCAAAATTATATTTTTCCTAAAATAAATGTGGCTGCAGCAAAAGCTAACACCTAATCAGCACATAATCTAACTGGTAAAAGGGCTCCATTAAAAAAGGGAATTTTTTTTTTAAAAGGAAAAGTATTAATCTATCCAAATATTGAAGAATTATGGGTCGCTTGGCATGGAGATTGTCAAATGAGCAAAGAAAATGGAATGAAAAATCGAAACAAATGACCATGTACTCCTACTAAAAAGAGGTAACAAAAATATATTCCCTCTGTTAGAAAATATAAGGCATTTTTAGTTTTTTAAGGTTTAATTATTGCCTTTTTTTTCAAAAGTACCTTTATTAAATGAATCACTTTATATTTATTGTAGGGCGTTTAATGGGGGTAAATATGAAAAGATAAAGTTAGTTTGAAAGTAAGTAACTACTTTATTGGGGGTGAGATTCAGTTAAAAATGCCCTACATTTTTAAGCGGAGAGAGTACATATTATCAATTAATGATAACAAATACATAATAAAAGCATCGTATATCTCATTTTTTGTGCAAGAGAATTGGATTCCGTTTCCAATGGTAAACCGATGAGGCCATAAATGTAATTAATGGTGGAATGCCATGCTTTTCCTTCCAAACTTCTTGTGTCAACCTTTTTCACTGAATCTTTAACCCTAGAACCTTCCTGATATGCAGATCTCATGGAAGCACAAGTTTTTAGTCACCTATGATTACTAACTAAAGATATAAAATTCAAATTTCAGGAAACTTTCCGTTTAGGATTTGAGAATATAAAATAGCAGTCTGAGGACTTTGTAAATTCAGTGAAGGAAGGAAACCATTTGACTAAAGCGCAAGAAGTAGGTGGCTTAGTTGTCTTGTGGCTCCTCTCAATGCTGCCATTCATATTTGGATGACCAACGGGGTATCTTTGTGGCAATAAAATACCAAACTTACAAAATCAAAAAAATTATAGCACAAGCATAACAAAGGAAAAAACTTCAAATCATCAAGAACATGATAGATTCAATTTTATACAGAATCATAGCAGAGATTATATAATAGTCCGAATAATTGCCCCAAACATGCTCATTTTAGATCACAAGTTCTCTTTCAGTAATTAACTATCAGGCTCATATTTTTAATTTTAGCCAAATTTTTCACTGTCTTACGAAACAAACATAATGAGGGGAAAGACTTCAAATGATCAAGAACGTGAGAAATTCAATTTTCTAGAAGTAATGGTAGAGATTATAGAATATTCTTGTCAACTGCCAAAGATGCTTAATTTTTATCACAAGTTCTCTTCTTGGTAATGAACTCTCAGACTAATAGCTTTAATTTTACGCACATTTTTCATTATCTTGTAGAAGTATAACTTTAAATGTTCAAAATTTACTCTTTCATCACCAGTCCAACAATACACGAGAATAAGCATTGCTATGCCAACAGTCAACTTCACAGACAACCATATCAGCACTTACAGTTTGCATGCATGTAAATATACTATGAGATTACAGCGATGGGGTGGGATAAAATATATGCATAACTAATAGCATGTTTGGAACCACGTTTGGCAGAAGCAACATTGCTTTTACCAAATCCACGTTTTGACACCCCAAAATGTGATTCTAAACATGCCATATGATGTTTCTTCATTTCTTCCTTTGGAGAGTTCATTTGTCATATCACTACAAGCAGAACAAGGGTAGCATGCTATGCATGGTGTTTGAGGTAAGCTGTATTATTCATGGTTTATAAATAACACAACTTTCTATAGATTTAAAATAACATACGGATGGATATAGATGTATATACTTATAATTACATTCATTCAGCCACTCATATAAACAATAATCGTTATTGAGTAATTTCATCTAAATTCACATGAACATCAGAAATTCAGTAAACCATTTTCAAAGCAATGCCAGATAGTAAATGTCGCAGCAGCCCATGATACAATGAACAGCAACAATTACATCTCACACATCACAAGTGATGGAAAGCATTGTAGTTCACAGAATGCTTTAATGGATTTGAAACTAGCATTTTTAACAAATCAATTCATTGTCCACAGCATTGAAGAGTTGAAATGGATAACAAATGGAAGATTAGATGTGATTCAAGCCCCCACATCAAGAAGTAACTAATATTTGAGGCATTATAAGCATAACAGCACCCTCAAGTAATCAAGATAAGCTTTTGAAACAATAACCTTATATGCAGGAAATTTCTAGAGAAAACTTCATTGCACTAATATCTTTTTTATCATAAGATTAACATAAAAAACAAAAATCTATTTGAATGTTTGACCAAGAGGTCCAGTTGATTACGAGTGGATAAATAGATCGGGTTTTATTTTCATAAACCACTGTGCCAAGTGAAGAAAGTAAACGGTGAATACCAGCTGTCCAAAGTATGGCATCGAAGACAACAAATGATGTTTTGATGACTTAATTTAATTAGATAACAAGCTTATGCATTTATTTTTACATATAATTAATATAGGAAAGAAACAAATGAATTAAGATTTTTTTACCCAGGAAGAGATGATGATTTGTTTTTAATTTAGAATTAACCTTGTCCTTGGGTAAATTACTTATTTAATTTTTTTTATTTTTTTTTTTTTTTACAAGAAGATGAAATGAACCTAAACATAACATGCAGAAGAAGCTCATGTCATATGTGAATTCAAGTTACACTATCAAAATGAAATTATGCAATAAGTCTTTTGTGTAAAACAAAGATATAAATTGAAATTATACCTGCATGGAAGGCTGCACACATTTTGGTTTGTCACATGACCTCAGCCGCAGTGCCTCTCTTGCTCTAAGTATCTGAACCCAAAAATCTTGTCCTTTATATTCCTTCCACTTAGATGCTTCAGGTATGGGTTCAATGGAAGGATCATGAGGATACTTCGCAATTCGTCTGATCCAGTTCAGCATTGAAGATAATGCTTCTCGTTTGCGCTTGCGAGAATTAGATTCCTTCACAGGAACTTCTGAGTTCAAGCTAGCAAGATCATCCTTAACACCGTCAGAAAGTTTCAAGTTGGCATCACCAAGGATACTGTGGACATTCTCGCATATAGTAGGTTGATTTTTGTTGTCCGGCAAATTCATTTCACCCTCGTGATCAATCAAGTCAATGTAGTTTCTCGTTTTATGTGATTGCAGCTGAACAGATACATCATCCTTCAACCTAGCGTTGCCACATAATGCATCTCTAAACTCTTTTACTAGCTCTGACGGCACTGACTTAAAATCCATATCACACCCATGATTCCCACTTTTGAAATTCTTTCCTCCACGAGCCTTGCCAAGCCATCCTTCAAACTCATTCAAATACTTGTCATATACTAATTTTACCGAAGCCAAAAGTTTAGGGTTCAAATGTAATTCCTTAGTCACAGACCCCCACAATCCTTTCTTCGACACCAAAGCATACCCACCTCTTTTGTTCACAAAGGAGAACAGTTTGTATAAATCCAATGATTGACCATCACCAAGCATTACAGGTACAGGACGAATATTGCCTCCAGAATTATTCTCCTTTATATAAATTGATAGAAGTTGATGAAACAAGCACTTAAGTTTAACTTCATCATCAAGTTGATCTCTAATAACACGACCAACGTCGAAGCAGCAGTCATTACCCTGATGTCCTCCAACAGTTTCAAGGCAATCTTCGGAAGATCCGTTTGTGAAACTTGACCATCGTGCCATATGCTTTGATTTCCTACTTCTATGTTTGTTAACCTACGGTCGAGATCAAGAAAGCTGCTATTTTTTCATTCCTCGGAATTTAATGGAACAAGTTAGAAATAACAGACTGAGAGGTGGCCGTGAGAGAACAATTACAGATACCAACGACGGAGTGAAGTGGATGCAAAGGTGGCTATTTAGCTCACCGATTTACCTCGTCCCAGATCATTAAGGAAGTGGTGCGGCTGAGACAGCGAAGTTGGAATCCAAGTGTGTATGGTTTATTGATCGGGGAACGGGGGGCCAATCACGAGGGAGACGCCAAGAATGCAGTGAAAATGCACAGAGAAAGAGAAAGCAGACGAAGCGGGAAAACAAGAAGAATGCATCGATGAGCATGAGTAGAAGATTAACAAAGAAATTGTCCGAACAAAACCCCCCAAAGACTCTTTTCCACTTCCAGGCTGGGGGGTCTCTCTTTCCCCTCGATGGTTGTGAGAGTGAGAGGTAATATAAAACAAACATTAGCAAATCGATGCGCAAGGGTTTTGTTGGATTTTAGAATAACCGTGAGCAATAAAAAAAAAATTACATGCACATATACTTGATTTAATTATTTAAAAGAGTTGAGGCAGCTTATTGCATAACATCATTGTTAGTGATCATAGTCTCGTACAATGAGAGTATATACTGGTCTAATCAAAAGAGTTTTCAAAATACTGGCTGATAAAATAAAAAATTATGATGTTTAAATATGTTTCAATTATTAATTTGATATCTTTAAGTTTAAATTTAATTGATTAGGTATCTTAAATTTATTTTAGTTATCAATGTGGTCATTATTATTTAAAGAAGAAGTAGTTGTTAAAATTTGCTAACAAAGATTATTTATAAAAAGAAAAGACTCAAAAAACAAAAAAGAAAACAGTATATGATAGGTAAGATAATAAAAATTGAACTAATTTGAGCGCTAATTTATTCACTTATACATGTTTAATCATTGACATTACACTAATTTGTATGCGTGTCTTTTCTTTTTATCGTGACCTGATCACTTAGGAAGTCCAATCAAGCAATTAAGTTGGGTGAATGTTGACCCAAATTGATCATGTTGACCAAAAAGTAACCTAGTGTTACCTAATAAACTCAGTTTGGATAGGTTGGACATAGGTTAAGCTTTTTTTTCTTGTTAGAGTGTAAAACTACCGTTTTGAACTTAAAGAAAAGGGGGGGCGTAAATGCACGGTCTTCTCTTCTACCTTCAATCTTCATATTCCTATGAGACAAGTCTCATGTCCTCTTCTTTCTCTTGTATAAATTTGTAATTCCTAATCCAGAGCCCTCCACGCCCAAATTGTATTGTCGAATGCTAATCCACTCTTCAAGCTGTGTTCGTTCGTGCCTTGTCTTTTTGACATCCTCATTGTCATTCTCTTCTCTACTGCTCATGAGTCATGACCTCAGTCTGTCACAGCACCTTCATGATTGCTTCAGAATTCTTCGTGTTTTCTCCCTATCAAGCTCATGGCTTCAATTTGTCATTCTCTCCATGTCAAGCTTGCAGTTCATTCTGTTTTCTCCCCTATGGTTTGCTCTCCTTCCTACTCACTCTATGTTTTGGGTCGAGTATTGACTACCAAGTCTTCTATTGTCAGGGTATAGTCTTATTCTCTCGTTTAAAAATATAATGTATTTTTAATCAAATCTCACCTCTTAATAAAATAATTAATTCTCTTCAAACTCATCATCTTTTGATATTTACCCAAATTTAATAAGGTATTTCACTTTAAAATAAATATAAAGTGACCTATTTTTTAGAGGCACTTTTGAAAAAAGTATAATAATTACTTAAAATACTAAAAATGCCTTATAATTTTGAATCTCTAACTTCTCAAACAATGCCTTACATTTTTTAAAGAGGGAGTATATATTCAAAAATAGCATCATTTTTTATATGCCTACATAGTATTAGTTATATAATTGTGCTTAAACTTCGAAGGGTGCTTCACTGTTTTGTTCCCATCCTAATAAACATGTGTTTGTTTTTTGTTATGAAATAATTGGATCAAGTTTCAATATCATTTCTTCGATTCTTCCATAAGGTTCATCATTTTGGCAAGACAACATTCACATACACACATATTGCAACAAGTTTATTGAAATTGTGTTGGGTTATTTCTTTCATGAGATTCTAAGCAAATGAATTTTCAGTTTTTGTGTTTTTTTGTTGATGAACCAGTTTTCGTGTTAAAAAATATCAGTTTTAGGATTACTATTTAGCTATTTATGTTAGGGTTGATTCCTTTTTATTTAAATATTTTTTGGTCAAATGTGATTTTTTTGTGTATTTTAATTAAATTATATTATGTAAATCATGATTAATTGATTGAAGAACTAATCCTTAAACCAATGTTTCAACTGATTAAGTGACTAGTTTGATTTTCAATACCTTGTGCTTAGTCTTATTCCAAAAGAAGCCATGTTGTACATCAAGTCCCTCTTAGCTATTTATGCATGTGCATTTGCTATCCCACCTTTACTCACTTACCACTACCTTTGTAACATTGATTATAAAAGTTTCAACCTTTAGAATTTCCTTGAGTGGCTCTCACTCTTACCTCAGTGGCACAAGGAACTTTATCAGGTCATTAAAGATTTTGACTTGTGAAATATAACCATTAAACAAGCAGAAGGTTTATTCCTTTTTCATTGTCCATCGTCCTCACAATCTAGATAGCCATGAGAATTTCTATGTTGCTAATCAGACTTACTTATAAAAATCCTCTCCTAAATTGGCTATCACATGAAAAAGAAGTTTTATCTGAATTAAAAGATTTTTTATATGATTTAAACAATTTTGCAGGCACAAATTCTAATCTTAAGTGTATTTCACTTGGTCCAACCCCATTATAGCCCTCTTAAACATGGGCAACGGTTTATTTCACTTCTAGATGTAAGAGTTAGATAGTGGATAATAATGCAAGTGAAAGTCTAAATGCATGGATAGATGAGATTAGTTCTTTACCTATAATTAGGACGTTTGATGGCATAAGACTGAAGATAATGAACAAACTAAATGAGATTGATAATTTGGTTGGGAAGTGGAAAGGAGATTATAATCCAGAGGCACTTGTATAGTTTGATAAGAATAGAGAGTGGGCTATAAGGTGTAGGGTTTATTTTAATAGGGATAAAGGTTACGAGGTGAGTGAGGGACAGGATAAGCACACAATGCATTTAAATAGAAAGATATGCACTTGTTGAGATGGGATTTGACAAGAATCCCATGCCAACATGCCATGTGTGCTACGTACCATGTAAAGGTTAACCCTTTCATTTGAATTTCACACTATTTCCGTAAGGAGACTTACAAGGCTAGCTATAGGACCAAGTTTCAACTAGTGAAAGGGAAACAGTCTTGGAAAATTGACAACTTCAAGCCTATAGTTAATTACATAACAAAAAAAAAACCAAGAACACAATAATGTTGCGACAGCCATCTTGAACTTCTTCCTCTTATGTACCAAATCCATTTCCTTCCTCTTTGTTTAGGCTTTATCTTCTTCAACACTCTACGGAATTAAGCTCTACACTAAGAACTTTTCTTCGTCTCAGCATCTCATTCCCTTCATACAACCTCTCAATGTGACCCACCAGCTCATTAAGAACAATCTTCTACCTTTGTTCGAGATCACTGTCATGCCATGTAAAGAAACCACAACTACCTCCCTATCATGCCAAACACAATTGCTCAGATTAAAGAACACCATTAATACTTTAAAAAAACTTACTTGGTAATATTTTTGGTAACCGTAGAAGCATCCCCCATGATTATTCTAAGGCCATGAAATCCACCTTAAGGCACCATTCCACAATCACGCAATTTGGACTGACCTTCATATACCATGCCTTTATCTCCTTGCCTCAAAAAAGAACCTCTCCTTCTACTCTTACTTGTCAACAATGAAGCAAAATCACCCATTTAATTTACTCGCAATCAAGCTTTGGGTCTCCACGCTGTCCAGTGTAAATCGCGATATTCACCTTTTTTTTGCTGCAAAATGATAGATGAGGAGTTATGAGCTTGGTTGGACTTTTAATGACTCATTTCATTATTCTACCAACTCGCACCACGTCACCAAGTGAGGAAATCGCTCATTGCCACATATGCTAGATAAATAGAACTTATTTGCTTCACATAACGAATGTTGTTGTGTTTTAAACGATAGGGGCAAAATTGCTTTAATTAAATTACTTGAAAGGGAATATTGCTACAATAAATAATTTAGAAACAACATTGCTCCTCCATGAATAATTTAAAGGCAATATTACACCTTAATCCTTTTAAAAAATAGATTTATTAGTTTTGACTGTTCGAACAAATTTATTGGCTTTTTGTTTTGAGAAACGAAATTAAATCTCTCTTAAATAGAACAAACAATTATTCATATAAAGTCAAAATATTGTACAAAAAATTAATAAATAAAAGCATATCATCTTATTTTATCCATTGAGTGATACTTTTTTCGAATATAGAGAGTATCATATCCACTAATTAAACATATTAAAAATACTTTTCCACCCCTTTTTATTTTCTCAAATTCCTTTTTTACTTGTTAGCCAAAATAATTCCTTTTTTGCTTACCAGGGGCGAAAGCTCTGAATTCTTGATGAATATCCTCAAAGAAGGAGTGGGAATCCATGCATATGTCATGAATAATGAGCAGTTATCGCGAGGACGCCAAGATTAAGAAGCGAGAGGATAGACGCACTTTCACAATACAAAAATAGCAGGAAAAGAAGGTATATGCTAAGAAGAAAAGAGCAAAAAACCAAAGTGCGATACAGCATATATACAACAGAAGACTGGGAGACACAACAAGAGAAAAATCATACTAACCACACTCGAATTTGTGATCACTGTATCCTAGGAAAATTTCAGTGTAACTCGTCGCAACTGTGTTGACATCAGTTCACGTAATGTACAAAGGAATGAAACTGAGTTTAAGCCCAAGAATGACACTTATGGACAAAAGGAATGAAACTGAGTTTAACACCAGGAATGAAACTTATGGCCAAAGGGATGCCACTGAGTTTAAACCCAGGTTATTGCCACGGCAACCTGTCCTCTTTCAGATGTAATCAAATTCAACACAAAGATTCTGCATCAAAAAAGAAGAAGCCTTTGAAAACTATGGAGACAAAACACCCAAACAACAGCCATATACTTGAATCGCATAACTGTAAACTGCTACTCTTTTGCAGCCTTGGTTTCTCAAACTCTATATCGCATAGTGTATTCAAACACCCAAGTTGTTGGTATCTATTAATCAATTGGAGACTCGAAAACAACATCCTGCATCATTTTGAGGGGGGAAAACATTATCTAAGCAGCAAACCCAAAAGGATATCTCCTTGAAAATCTAAGACAGATGGGAATGGTGCAAACCTTATCACACACAGGACAGCTTTCACTTCTTTCCATCCATTCCAGAATGCATGCAAGGTGAAAGTGATGATCACATTTTGTGCTGAGTTTTGGATTCTCCGCATCATACTCTGAGGATAAAGAGAAAGACATTCATCAATAACCTCTCAATTGTAAACAAAAAAACGTAGAAATAACATAAAAATGGTCAGGTTAACTAATGCCAACAGAAACACTGAAACAGCAACAGAAGTTGGACGGAGAAGCTGTGACAGCATCACCTTCTAAACAGATAGGACATACATCCTCCTCTTCTGCTAAAATGACAGGTTCTTCTAGCTTTTGAAGTTCAATTTCTGAATCCTTAGCTGAGTCCAGTTCCAACTCACTCTGAACTCTACCCTCTAGTTCCTTCTGCTCTTCCAACTTGGTCAAGTTTCCATGACCATCACTAGTAACTATTTCTTGAACTGAATTAGGATTTGTTGATTGAAGGGATGCATTAGTCTTATTTTCACTAATTTCATTAACCCTGGGTGGAGTTTGAGCGGCAACCAAAGTGACACTGCTGTAAGGAACAGGAACAGGGGGTGGTCTATAAGTATCAGGGCTTGAAGTTTCAAGATTAGTATCAACTAGGAGCCCTCTGGAGAAAGCCGAGGCAGAACCATGATTAGATGATAGAGGAACACGCTCCTCGGATGCTCTTGGGTGCTGGAGAGAAAAGGCAGCAAACGAAGTCATGCTTATGACAGACGTATTTCATGGATCATAATCAATAGGCATTAGCAAGGTAAGAAACAGAAAGTTATTCATAAGTTCATTATCACAAAGCAGGCTCAAATTGCCAATTGAACCAAAGACAAAATGAGTACTAATATGTGTCGCTGTGCTGCCAAACTCATCGCATCAACTTCCTCATTTGTAAATAAAGAATACAATCAAAAATATTTTAACTACAATAGATTCCAAAACTCAATTTTTAAGAGTTCTGGTCAAAATTTCAAAGCAGGAGAAGAGCAAGAAACAGTTATTAAGCTACTTATAGTGAAAGTGATATTCTCAAAAAATAATCCAAAATAAATAAATGTCATTGGAGGCAGGAAAAGGAAAAACTCTTGGCCAACAAAGACGCAAAATTAAAATGAGGCAAACTGAAACAGTGATAGTGATATACTGTAAATAAAGCCCCCCCCCCCCAACCCCCAAACAGCCTGGAAGAAAAATGGAAAGCAAATTGTGTCCTTTGAGGGGGCATTTAAACACAAAAATAACATCGCTTAACACCTGGTCAACCCGTTGGAGAGAAGGGGTTCGACCAGAGTCAGTTACAGGTTAAGAAACCTCCAAACTATCCGTGCAGACATATCATGTACATATTGAAGACTATAATAAACTATCATATTTCTTCTTGGAAGATAATTTCTGCTGTCAAGTTAGTCTTTGAAAATTTATTGCCATCAATTGTGAATCTTATGTTTTTTTTTAAAAAAATCATTTTAGTCTTCACCTTAAACTCGGTTAAAATTAAATTGATGACAGTAAATTTTGGAAGACTCATATGATCTCAGCAGTATCTTTCAAGGACCCCTATGGCAGTCTAGTTATTATATTTGATTTGCGGTAAACAATTCTGAAAGTGGAATACTACTAAGGTTGGTAGTTGTGACCATAAGTTCATAATTTCAGCTATGCTATGGGAGAATTGAATTCATGCTCGCAACAATGAATTGTCAGACTTCGTTGTTTTGAAAATGAACATCCTTCCTGGCAATGTCAGACTCCATTGTAGATATTCCCAGACCTTCCATTGAAACCACTGACACCAGCACGTATCAACTGAGCGATGCTGGGAAAGAGTACAGTTAAATATTTTCTAATTCCGTATTAGTTTCGGATTAAGAAGAAGCAGTGATAGATTATTATGATTTTTTAATGCCTTAGTAAGAATAAACTAAGGACAAGGAGTTGAAGTCATCAACGTTTTGAAGCAACAAAATGCTTCTCCTTTGTTTTTTTTTTTTTTTAAAAGAAAACAAGAGATGAGTAGAAATGATCGGGATCAAATATGACGTAGACTAACATAGAAGTACGCAGGTGGATCGCTCAGTTCAGTTTCTTTGGAAGAACAGCAACAGCAACCGCCCATCTCCCTTAACTGCAGGACACAAGGACAAATATTAGATTGCGGTGCATGAGTTAAGCTTCATCAGCACAGAAACAGATCAAACTTGAGCCATATACAGATGCGAAAAGAATATGATCGTCATATATCAATGATCGTGCCAGGACGTTGCCACCTTTTACCTTCCGTCTCTCTCCTGCTCACATGAAAGAGTAATCATCCACCCAACCGACCAAATACATCCCCAATTCATCAGGACTAATATCCAGGAATGCTCAACACATAAATTTCCAGCAGCAAGCGATCCAAAAGAGGAAGAAAAAACAAACGAATTCATGAGATGAAAGCGATAACACAGGCAGAAACACATACAGAGCAGGGTAAAATTCGATAGAATTTTGATCCGGGAATGAAATAATTTGAATCTATAAACAAAAACCAGTATAGGAAGCAAAGCAAATATAGACAAGGCATCAAAATGCAATAACAGCAACCATCAATCATCAACTAAGAGGGGAAAAAAACAACCGCAGTAGGTAGAAACAACAAAGATACTGCTTATGTTTAATTAAAAGAAAGAGCAAAAAGAACAAAGATAAAGAAAAAGAGAAAGCATCCAATACACAAGCTGAAAAACCTAGCTAGCAGAAGCAGTGAGGCCAATAAGGAAGATAAGAGGAGGACTTGAAAGCAAAAGGTAACCGATCATTTCGAATTTGGAATATCCTCCGATGAAAGAATGGATTGACGGGTGATTTCTTTACCTTGAGACAGAGAAAATGATGGTATTCATGAAAGAATTGAATCGAATTGAAGAAGAAAGTTCGTTTCAGCAAGTTGCTTGGACGCAATAGGAAGGGAAGACCAACGGAGCGGGTTTTTGGATCTTTATTTATATGATACTCTTTTGAGAGTGCGAACTACGTGTACTAGAGACACTCCCAAAACTACTCTTCTTCCTTCAACATCTTCAATCACTCAGATCTCAGCCGTTAAATTCCCAGGGACCCCACTTTCAGTCGGTCCCATAATCAGATAGACGTTTCATTCCGAACCATCTAATGGGTGCGCCCCATGTTTTTTATCTAGATTTTTATTTTTTTTAATTACCAGACAAGTATTTTGTTTGGGTTAATTATTAAATTTGAAAAAATACAACTGTTTGTTCATATACTTTTTATATTTTTATTTCATTATTTCAAATCTCCTAAATTTTGTATGTCTACAATATTAGTCACCATTATCATCGGTGAAATTAAATTTGCCATGCACATAACTTTATTTAATTTTATTAATGAATTGATAAAATTATGATAAATTAGATATTACATAAACAAAGTGACTGTTAATCTTTATACTTGTATGCTCTAGTTGTGTGTTTTTTTCCTTCTAAAATTTTGTCCATTGCACTTTAAATATTCTAGTTTAATATCTTACTTTTTTCTTTTGGGTTTTCTACTCATTTTTTATACAACTCATCATAATTTTAACAAGTCAGTATAAGAAATTATAAAATTTATGTACATGTTAATCATGGTTAAGTCCTTATGGCTATTTTTAAAAACATAAGACTAATATTATAGACAAATGAAACTCAAGAGACTTAAAACAATGAAATAACATATAGGAACTAATACTAATGCACGTCAACAGTATAAGGATTAAAAATTATATATTTTCATTAAAATTAAATTAGAGATATTTACATACAAAAAGTTCTAAAACCACCTCAAGAGATTCACAACAGCAAGTTTAAAACTTTAAATCATGTAATAAAATTTTAGATTTTTTTTTTCTGCCACAAGAGAGTTTTTCATTTTCTTTTAATACTAAACTAATTTGAACTTTAATAATATCACTATGTAGAAAATATAGTTCCGCAAGATACTACTATACTGCTACTTGAATTTCACATATCCATGTAAGATTTGACTAAATTTTACATTAAGTATTGAGGCCTACCACGGTCATCTTTCTTTATCCAGGTCCAACCGCTATAAATACCGGCGGAATTTTGCACTATGAGCTGACTAAATTATCCACGCACGAAACAGGCAACGAGATTCTCGTCTGTTCAACCAAACTTGGCCTGGATAATCCACATTCCATATCCTTTCAATTTTTAAACTAGATTAAAAGATTAGCTCTGAATTATTATGAACAGGAACAACAAAAGAAAAATAAATAAACAAACAAGAAGGAACAAAACAAAATCTAAAAAGAAAGGTAGGAGAGAGAATCGCGGCGCCACAGCTACGCAACGCAGCCAAGAGAGATATAATACCTAGGCATATCATATAAACTAGGGAATCAACCCGATATTACAAGGTCAGATTTGGCGAGATTGAACGCTCACTCAGGCAGGCCAACCAGCCTATCAATCTCTCTGGAGTTTGAAATTAGCAGCTAAGGTCTAAGGTTAGGGCTAATATATATATATATATATATGTATGTATATCATATAATTACAATCGCAAGTCATTCAGAGTTGTGACTCGGCAGGTGGGTCAACAGCCTTCAGCCTCTTGGCCCCGCGGAGGAACTCTTTGATTACTGGTACCTCGTCCACTTTAAGCTGTTCAAAAAGTATCATTTCAAATCAGACGAAAAGCAAAATCATAAACGGTTTTAGTTTTCTTAACGCTGAGCCAAGAAGGGAGAGGAGAAGACTAACCTGCAAAGCAAAATGACGCTGCACGGCTCTAACCATTTGTTCCCTAGTTGGATTCGAATTACTGTTCAACTGCAAAAAGATACAGCCATGATTCAGACACGTTCTGAGTAATACGAATTGAAGATTGAAAATCCAAGAGGAGGACACCTACAAGTTTAAAATGCCTGCAATATCTCCACAATGACTCTGTTCCCATGTTTGCCAAGTTCACCCTCTGCATACAGAGGAAGGGAATGCGTTCGCTACGTCAATGTTCTATAAACTAAATGCAGCGACTCGACAACTAGAACGACAACCTCAAGGGTCATTTAATTGCTCATTCACATGAAAAGAAAAGACAGGATTGTTGGTCTTTTTTCTTACAGGCTGAGGCGCGAGAATGGAATGGACTTCTCTGTAACTTCCACGGTTGCTTGCCTTTGCTGATATAGACTGCATATAAGGCTTCGAATGTCTAACTCTTGGCTTGCCGGGCTTGTGAAAGTCAATACTAGTAGCTGTTCGAGGGAAACAGTGTTTGATTTTAACAACGGTATAGCAGTAGCACAAGCAGTAAAATTTGAAACGGACTGTTGGTAAGCTTACCAAAATCGTTGTCCTTTTCATGGATTTCAGATCCACTGCTAGAGTTATCATAATCAAGATCATCTTCTTCGTTCCCGGTAGGGTGTTCTAGCACACTCAATGCATTCCTTTGCAGCTTAACCTCAACCCCATTTTTCAAGACCTTACCCGTCAAAGCCAGAGAGAAATTATGAATTTGAATAAAATTAAGAGCAATATGGATAAATAAAGCCAGAAAATCATGAAGAAATTATGCTGTACATTAAATTTTAGATGCTAGGTAGGCCCAATTTTCCCCTTCAATATCATAGATCAAATAGGAGTATAGGTATGTTAACCTAAACCCTTTTCAACCGCAAGTCATTCTCATTCTAATTCCTTGCTCACAATCACACTCTTCCTTCCTTCCTTCCTTCCTTTCTTTAATTCTTCTAAAAGCCTCACTCACACCCTTATGCTCTTGAGATGTACTGTAAGATTTAACCCCCTCCACTAATTTGCACGCCTCTTGAGGGATTTTTTTTTTTTTTCCCTCGATCAAATTGATGGTAATCTCTAGCAGATAAGATAGAAGTTATCTCCTATTTCAAATTAAAATGCTATCATCTAACTTTGAGATGATAATAATATTTGTTATCACCACATAATTAATTTATAATTATCTTAAATTTAAATTTAAGATGATTAATTTGAATTTGATAGTTATTTCTTTACATGCAGAGAAATCCCACAAATAAACCCTGCAGCATAAGTTAAAAGAAGAAGAAGAAAAAGAATCACAAATCTCAAAACTCAGCATGATTTACATTAATTTATCACAGGGGAAGGGTAAGAAAAATTACAAACTTAATTACAGGCAGCAGAAATAATAAATACGAACCACTAATCCTAGTAGAACACCAGACTATGAAATTTATGGACTCCCAAGCCATCATTATAATTAATAATTAAAAAATTCACTAATCATTGATTACTCTTTCAACCAGTTAGAAAATTACATTCTTGGAAACAATAGCTAAAATCTAAAAATCATACAGATTACTTCTTATAAGGCTCATAGAAGCGCGAGTATCTAATATCCATCCATAATATATAGCAACCACATCAAGATCCCTATGCTAAACTTATTATACTATTTTAAACTTCTTTTTAGAACATTTAGCGGTTGACAGCATTTGATTTCCTTTGTAATTACAAAACCAGAAGTAAAATTAGAAGGATAAAAAAAATATAAATACCAGCCAATGCCAACCTCCGAGGCCGACGGCTTTCTTGACCACGCCTTGCAGTCCCACTAACACAGACTTGGTTCTATTGTTACCAGTGACTATAACTTTAGTGTGCCTCGGAAGAACCGAAAGTTCTTCATCTCCACTTTCCTCGCGGAAGGGCGATAATACTCGTGAAGAGCATAAGTCAGGCTCCAGCATCCTGACCGTTCTATCCAGGTCTTGAATTACAATGTAGAGATTTCAAACATAGAACCTGAATGCCAGTCTCATCCAAACTCAAGGCCGCTTCAATTTCTGGATTTGAGATGGAGCAATGATTACTTATCAATATAATGATATTCCCTCAAAAATTAACTTTCAGTACTGAAGCTTCATTCTTGCTCAACTGGACTAGCATGCAATTGAAACCTACTGTGATTCAAGCAGCAACTTCTTCTCGAGATCAGGTTCCTGAATCCATACAAATGAACTGAGAGAAAGAGCAAGTTAATTTGGCAATCACCCAGTGAAAAGAAGCGAAAATGATATATAAAGTGATTAGGAGGGGGAGAGGGGGAAAAGACAGAGCGAAAGAACAGTATTGCGATAAAAAAAATTTTGAAAACCTTTTGTTACTCGAAATTATAGAGGTGTTAAATGCGAAGGGAATCCAAGGAAGGGACTCCAATCTCGCTCACGGACCCAGATCCGCCACAATGAATGCAACAATGTTGGTGTTCATGTAAAAAAAAAAAAAAACAGAGAGAGAGAGAGAGAGTAATCCCTGAAAGTAGTTAAATTTCAAAGATTAACACAGCAGAACATGGAAATAAATATCGAGTTGTGTACGATTCCTACAAACAAGAAATAATCAAATTTTCATTCGTTTTTTCCCCTTAAAAATCCTCGCACTACATATGCAGAATTAAGAATTTATTAAGTTATTGCGAGTCAATCCCACGCGAATAAAAAAAGATACGCAATCGCAAATTAAAATTTATCAAAACTAAAAAGAAGGATTCTTCTATTTAGATCAATAAAACTATAACCTGAAAGTTCTCGACTTTTTTCGAAAATGCAGGAAAGCTGGGAAAAGATTTTGAAATTCAAATTCGAAAGCGACACGAGTTGAGGTGAAGCAGCAACAAGTGATTGTGAGCGTGATGGAGTTAATTATTATTATCCATTAAAGGAAACAAAGGAGAAAATGAGAGAAAGGAAAGAAAGGGAGGAAGAAAGAAAGAAAAAGCCATTGAACTGAACCAGCAAGAATGTTTAAAACCGAGAAGCTAAGAAGAAAATTGAAAGTGTGATTCAAGTGAGTGAGAAGCAAGCATAGGAGGATTAAGATTAGAAAGATGGAATTTGAATTGGAGAAAAGAAATGAGAAGGAAAAGCGGAGCAGGTGAAGGCGTACGTACCGGGAAGGAAAGAGAGAAGGCGATTCCAATCTGGAAGAAGGAAAATGATCAAGAAATCTGGAAATGGATGTGGAAAACAAGCGAGGAGCGAGAATGAGTTGAATTATAAAAGCAAGGAGTGAAGAGTTAGAGTGCTCGTTAATATTTTATTATTATTATTATTGTGTTGATTGAGAGAGAGGGGTGAGGGGAGGAGGAGGACACACTATAAATGCGTACCAACTGCCATGGGAACGACCTGCCATGTTCCGTACGGTCACGACTTTATGACCGGCTGAGCCGGTGCCCACCGGTCATTTGTGTGATGGAATGCATTGCTAAATGGCTCGGCTTAAAGGGTTAACGGCGTGAGTGTTTTTGTCGTGCGTGGGAGCGCATGGTTTTACACGGAGCAGGAGTGCACTCATTCCTGGAAAACTACGATATCGTCCTATCCTTATCCAATGTATCCTTCTTTTTAACATCTGTCCAATAAAATTTCAAATGAATAATATATATCGTACTACATAGTATTTTATACATACACAGGTGAACGTATTTGTTACAGTTTCCCTGGTACCCCTGCTTTCTGCCGTTCCGGATGTCAGAAGCCGCAGAGATTTTTGCTTTTAGAAAAGTAAGTCACCCAAATGTGTGATAAAATAAACCTTTGTAATAAATTACCTTATTTGTCCATCATGACCCACATTTCAAATTTCAAACTGCAATGTAACCTAATGTATTTCTCCGTGTTACAGAGGGACAAAAAAGAAAGAAAGAAAAGTCCAAGGGCCTATTTGGGTGGCTTTTAAAAACGTTGAAATTGCATTTAAAATGTATTTTTATCAAATTCAATAAGTAATTAAATACTCTAAATATAATTTTGGCATAAAATAAAATCCAAACACACATTAAGACAAAACAGAAGCTTAACTGCCCCAACAATTTATGTAAATCATGGGGTAGTTGAGCCACCACATGGAGTCCCATGAGAAGCTTAGGAAGTTTGGGAATGTATTGCCCTCCCAGTAGATATGAGAAACTTCAACTTGCCAATCTCTAACAATAGGATACGCTTTATCTGGGGAATGAGTCTGCTATTAGCATCAATCAAGCTCGTGTCCTGAGATAAAAGATGTACAGCCAACATGCAATCAACGTCAAGCTTGATTTTTCTGAAGCCACAATCCCAAGCTAAATTCACACCGCCAACCGTTGCCCATAATTCTATGTAAGCTAACGTTATTGCTATGGGCAGGTAAAATTTTTTTTTTGTTTTAATTTTTTAAAATTATTGAGAAAATTTACTAATTTTGATTCAAAAACTAAATAATTATTAATTATCTGGATAAAAAATCATAATGGCTTGACTGTTTCGAATAAAAAATTATAATAACTAGTTTGTTTTTTTTTTTGACCAAAATAACTAGTTTGTTTAAAATCAGAAACTTTTGGTGTTTAATTTTTCAAATTTAAGTTTAGGGATCAAAAGTGTCTCTTTTTTTTCCTTTTGCGTCTTCATAAAGAATAACGATACTGCCAGGTTAATTTTTGCGTGATGCTATGGAAATTTAAACTCATTGTAAGAATTTAGCTTAGTGATTTGTTTTTTAAAAACAAATATTTAGTGTGCCTGAATGTATTTTCACTAGCAGCAAGTGACATAATAGGTGTTATGATATATGTTAATTATCCAAAAAATTTGACATTTAAGAAATGTAAAACGTAAAATATTATGTATGACAATAGGCATTGACAGAATGTAGTTATGATTTACTAATATTCCACCCATTTAAAAACATTTTTTAAAAATTAGATGTTAAAAAATATAAAGTATTTTTATAATATTTTGAGGTATGTTTGATGTGTTTTTTTTAAATATTTACAGTACATAAATTATGTTATATTCATGTTAAAGTAAAATACTCTATTAAATAATGATAAATATAAAAAAATAATATTAGTTTGAAAATAACTAATCACTTTATTAGGGGGTAGAATTTAGTTAATAATGTATTACAGTGTTGATTTTTTTGGGTGAAACATGGTTAGTGTTTATTGTAAGCTACTTGAGCTCTTAAAAATATTGAATGCTGTTTTTTTTTCGTTTTTTTGGGTCCCAACACTATATACTACTTTTAAACATATTGTAAACACTGTTGTCGTCTCAGGAATGAAACGAGAGAAGAATTCTCACCTGAAATTTCTAAATATTCCACGGTCACGGAGATGTGCCCTAATCTCGGCTTCTCCAACCTTGGAACTATGCGCTGGACGATCCTCTGCGAATTTACGAAAAAAGGGAGATGAACACTCAAATTCAGACAATTATTCTTTTAGACCACAAGAAATTGCGAGCCACAACATGGAGGAAAGGGCTCAATGAATCACTGTGAGGACAAATCTCTGCATGCGAGTGTCTCAGGCGAATTCTTAAGTGGACTAAAACTCTCGCTTTGGAATGGAACTCGCTGCTGAGATCGATGGCCATTGCCCTGCTTCTTGAGGATCTTCGTCGAACTTCCACCAAAAAACAGATCTTCCTCGGTCATCGTTGACGACGTTTCACGTTTATTGCTTTCTCATTTTCTTGTCAATTTTTTTTTAACATCCGAAAAGTATTTTTTAACTTCTCACAAGTTAAATTTTGTTTGGTTTTTAATTTTTTAAAAAAAATTCATTTAATTTTTTTTAATATTATTGAATGTGTTTTTGATTGAAGTTTTTGAAAAGTGAATTTAAAAAACAGAATATTATTTAAATATATTATCCCAAATTTAATTTTTTATTTTTTATTTAAAAAATAGTTAATTAATTAAAAATAGAATTATCATTTCAATAATAATAATTAGGTATCAAGTTTTTAGCATTATGAATTGAATAATTAATTATGTTAATTTTTAACATTAATGTATAATACAAATTACAAATTTTTATCACATTTTTTTAAAATTATAAATTAAAAAAGCACAAATGACTGGAGATCAAGTTGTAGCATTATAGATTAAATGTTATGTTATTTAAAATCTTTATCATATTTTTTAAATATTTTAAATATATTATATTTGTATAATAAAAATTATAAATTATTATAAATTAATTTTTTTATAATTGTATATTTAAAAGCACATTTTACTATTATAATTCAAATAACTTTCAGTGTATAAAATTAACTTTTAAAAAAATATATCTAAACATAAATTTCGTTACAACAATTGACTTTTATTAAATTGACTATTGTCAAATAAACTTTTATCAAACAGATTTTTAATAAATTGAAAACCAAACACACACTTAATTTTCCTTCTAAAACAAACTTGGTCGTAATGCCAGGTCATAAAACCTTTCAATTTTATATAACTATGTTACAGGTTTGAGAGCCCAATGGGTATAATCCTTTTAAAGACATTTTTTTATATATACACAAGCTGAAATTTGAGATCTCATATTTAAACAGTCATAATCCATTTCATTTGGGCCAACTTCTCTTTGTTGTCTGTTCTCTTATGCATCATACTCATTTCATCCTAATCTATAAAATATTTTTAGATAAAATCATATATGTTAATAAAACTCATTAAATATACTTTACAATTTTATTTTTTAAAACAAAGATATAAATTTAAAAAAATACTCTTCATTCAATAATTCATTTATAAAAGAATGATAAAGAGAGATAATATAATGGGATGATAATGTAATATTAAAAAAATCATTAATAAAATTTTATTTTTATTAAAGTGATTTATATTTTGTCAAAATATATTTTTCATAAATCCCATTTAATTTTGCAAGCAATAAAATTATTATTTTTTAATAAACATTGATTTAATTGATGAGAATTGGATTTATAATCTTACAAGATCGTGGAATCATATCATATTATTGCTGATGCAAGGGCACTGTTGGCAGACAGTCTTTAAATACTGTTACAAGTATTCTTTGAACCTAACATGCGCTAGCCTTAATAAGCTTTACGATTCAACCAACCTAAATTTAATACTCTATAAAAAATCATTATTTATTTTGAAAACCATATCTTCTAGAAACTTCAAGGTAGTAGAAAAGTGCGAAGAATCATGTGTCGTCGTCGTCGTCGTGGTCGAAAACGTTATAGCAGTGTTTTTGTTTGGCCTGAAAATGTGATAGCAGTATAAGAATAAACAGGGTGGATTCCTGAAACGTAGGAAAGTGGGGATAGTGGTGCATGGTGCATGGAAAAGTATTTTAAAAATATGTCTAGAAAAAATAGAATATAAGCATTTTTCTTTCACAAAAAGTATTTTTTTTTTTTTACTTATCATAATTACATTACCGCTGGATCTTCTCTCTCTTCCGATCGTATAATTTTTGTTTCAATGCTTCTTTACGGCGGGTGGAGGGG